AGGTGACGTAAAAACAGAACTTGCAACTGGTGCTAGGGGCCAACTGGTGAAGGTGTGCAAACTCCAGCATTTCGAGCGTAAATATTAATTATTAACTATCAACTGTATTAAAATAATTAATTTAAATTCCTTATTCCATTCCATCCCTACCCTGAAATTATACTTATTAAAAAAATCTGTAAAAAAAACGGTAAAGCATGTGAATAAAGTAAGTCTTTCTCTCAAAATAAAAAATCTGAGATTCAATTTCATGAGGTGCAAGTAAAATAAAATTAAAAAAGAAAAAAACAATTGCTTCTTATTATATATATAAAAAAAAAAAACTAAAGCAAAAGAAAAGAAACCGTTACAAATAATTTACTAATTGCTCAAATTCTATTATAAGGAGCCAGAGAACAGGCAGTATTCATTATTACATCATAAGTTTTGGTTGTCCCCAGCACACAAAGCCTAGAGAGGACAGAGAAGCAGAAGCTATAACAATTTTCCCATCTAATTTAAGTTAATATATATTAATAATAATAATAATCTCCTAAATCTTCAATACCTTAAGAAAAAGGCACCGATGGCCTCCGGGGAACCAATAGAAGCACCGATTTTTCAAGATCCATCATTGTAGTAGAGAACAGCAAAAGAGATGGTTTGATTTTGATTTTTTCTTTTTATTTTTTATGTGCGAATTTTTCAGTGCTTCTTCAAAAGCGTGGCTCGTAACTCGGCCACGTCGATCTCGTTAGCGGTGTTCTCCGGTCTGTAGCATCCGGTGACTGGATCCGGTACCCACGACACCTTCTCTCCGGACGGCGCCATCTGCTCCCCTGTTTTCTTCACCACCGTGCCGCTTCTTGCTGCTCCTCCTGCTCCTCTCGCTACACTCGAGACAACTCCTTGTGATGCAGCCGCATATCCTCGTCTACTCACAATCACAAGATTAATCAAACACCGTTAATTCCTCACCCGAGACGATTTAAAAACAAAAAAAAAAAATCAATAAAATCAGAAATACGTTTTTTTCTTAGAAATTTCTCGGGAAACAAACAGGAAGAAATCAAATCTGAAGTTTATATAATAACTACCTGTAGATCGCGTTCGAGATTCCATCGAAGACAACAGCAGAGAGAACCTTAGCGTTGGAGAAAGAGCGAGCCATTGTTTTTTTCTTTTCTTTTTTTTCTGAATGAATTCTTGATCGGAGATCAACTCCACGCTACTGCGGAAAGCTTTTCCTTCGACGATTTCCGGTGGAAATTTTTGTGAAGAAAGAAAAGAAATTCCCACAGCGGCGAGAGAAATCTCTTTCTCTTTCTCTCCCCCCCTCCGAAAAGCTTGTTTTTTCCAAGAGCTGTCTAGATGGGTTGGGAAGGGAGAGGTCTGGGGGGTTTATATAACGAAGAAGGTTGTGAGATGCGTAACGAAGAGAGGGGGTTGGGTTAGCGAAATCCCCGTGACATTAGGCATCTGTACTGTTGTTTTCTGCCACGTGTCAGGATGAGAGAGAACCGTTTTTGTTTTGATTTTTTTTTGTTTTTTAAATGGACGGTTAATGGACAACGTGGTCAAACGCGGATGCGTGGGAGCGGCTCGATTCAAGGGATAGTTTGATTGGGTAGGGACACACCTCATCATATCAATATCAATCACGTGAAAGGGTTGTGGTTTTCGTGGACATTAAAATTATTAAGATTACTTAAATTTTAATTTTAATTTTTAATGGTATTTAAAAATATTAATTTATAAATTAATTTTAATTAATTATTATTATTAATTATTTTTATAAAAAATT